TAAAAAATAAAATCGAGAATTTTCACACAATAATAGCATTCGGTAGCCATTTTCACCGTGAAGATAAAATAAAGTCCGAAATTTTTTATTTTTCATAATAAAGTAAATTACATTAGCTTTAATTTAAGATATATATAAAAGTGTCAGACTTTCCGGAACACTTTCAAAATTTAAGTTGAAAAAGTTCTACTTTCTACATGCATTTTTTAGATTTGAACCCCCCTCGTATATAGGGAAATGGTCGGATTTAAAAAAACAGTATGTCAAATGAAAGATGTATATAAATACTACTCCTCATAAAAAAATTGTACTGATCCATACATTTTTCAAAAAGTTATAGCATAATAAAGTTAAAAATGTAAAATACAAAATCGAAAATTTTCACACAAAAATAGCATTTGGTAGCCATTTTAACCGTGAAGATAAAATAAAGTCCGAATTTTTTTTTTTTGCATAATAAAGAACATTACATTAGCTTTAATTTAAGATATATATAAAAGTGTCAGACCTTCCGGAACATTTTCAAAAGTTAAGTTGAAAAAGTTAATTTTTTTTGAAAAAGTTGTCATTTTAAATCCACCCTTGTGGGCAGGTTAAGGGTTAAATTTATGAAAAAAATATACCAAACGAAAGGTAATAATATTACACATCTATATAAAAAATAATTATATTGATATGTTCATTTTTAACAAAGTTATGGCAGTTTTTAGTAAAAAAAATTTCGAAAATTAGCGATTTTTAAATTTGTAATTTTTTTGGAGGTTTCCCCCATTTACGGGGAACAAGGGAAATTTTTTCAATTTTTGAGGGTAATGTCTTCGACTAGATACGATTTGTGATATTTTGACGTATCATTGAAAGAAATTGGTTCGGTGAGAGCTGAGAAAAAGTGGAAACAGACACAAAAAAAAAAAAACACATCTTAGTAAAACCAATACCTTCTCAGCTTCGCATCGAAGCTAAAAATAAATTAGTGAGGAATTTAATTCCTTCACATTATCCTCTTGCATCAAAAAATTAGATTTAAAGAGAGATTAGTGCTATTTGTAAGAATTCGCATGTAAGCTAACATTATTTGCCTCGATAAACATCCTTATCAGACTAACAATACTTCTGAGTATGCGTGTATTAATTTGTTATGAGTTCTAAAATGTTTTCCGAATGTCTGTAACTTTCATATCACATCACGCTTTTATTTTCGATGATATACCTACAACGTTTTTAGACTTTACTCAGTATGTGCAGTGCAGCGTAAGCATCACAAGTTTTTCATTTTTGGATTGTGCCCAAAAAAAAATCCACGTTCCTGAATAATTCCAAGGATATGCTGCACTAAAAACAAATAAATAACTTAAGGGTACCATGTAGCTGTTGTTTCATATCACCACGACCGTAATCTAATAATTCTTGAAAGGATGGCATAAAATATCCTTCGGGGATTTCGGAGAAATAAAAGCAGAATTAAATTTTTTCTCTTCTTTTACAAAGACTTTTTCTAAGCTAAGAAAACCGAATTAACTACTTTTTACAAATATTTATTGACTGTGCAATTATCATGATTATGGGTATCATTTTTATAGGTATTTTACAAATTCTTCCTCATTAAATTTCTATAAAAATAAAAAAAAAAAATTTACCTGACAATTTTTTTTTATGAAATATTATAATTTTTAAGGATTTGGGAATTAAATAATTATAAGATTAACTTTTGTTTTTAAATTTGCTATCGTTTTTGAAAATAAACAGTAATAGATATAATCAAAATTTAAAAATCATTCATATTAATTCAATTTTATTTTAGGAATTCTGGTATCTATAAAATCAAGGTATGATAATTTTTTTTTTAATTCTGTCGTTCATTCAATATTTATATTTTAATTTATTAAACATTTGATCTTTTGAGTTATTGACTTTAGGTGATAATACAAGGTGTTAAAAATGTAAAAGGAATACATTTTGTTTCCGGATGCTTTCTATCAGTTACTCTGCTGTCGTTTATGTTGTCAGTGAAACATTTTTCATTTGTGATGAATTTCGTTTTTCAATTATCAAAGAGCAAACGCTACTGTGCAAACCGTCGATTTTTTTCCATCCATTCTAGAAGGGGTTGGGGAGTTGTTGTATAGAACGTACCATAATAATTCATCTATGTCCGGCGGCAACCATGGCGTTGAAGGGATTCTTCTCGTTTAAATAAACCAATTAATGGAACAACTGGTCGAGTAATAAATCGACGTGAACACGCTATGTATGTTAAGAACTATAGTAATATGATGGCGTATAACGAAAAAATCAGTTCGTCACGCAAATATCTTTTGAAACAATTTTACAACGTCTGTCTTAAATAATGTAAAAAAAAAAACAAATTTACTTTTAACCTGATCATTTTACTGAATTGATAGTACAGTTATTATTCCAGAATTTAACTTTTATAATCTAGTACTTAAAATGAATATTGGGTTCTTGTTTTTTAATATAAATTAATTAAGAATTATTTAAATAATGATCGTTTTCAAATGTATTCAATGATATATATTGGAATCGTCAGGAATATATATATTACTTATTTTACTCTGTAATATGAGTTTTTTTTAAAATAATTATTTAAATTTAATGATTATAATCATTACTAAAAATATGTATTGTTATTTTATTTACACATGATAAGTGTCATATATTACTATGCATTTCCTGCTTTCTTCATAAAAAATGCTTATTTTAATACCTAAATAAGACTACACATGTAAATATTTATTTTTCTGTTTTAGGTAAGTCATAAGTGGATGTTTAAGATTAAATTAGTACTCAAGTATTGGACGAATCAAATGGGAAATTAAAAAAATAATTAAGGTTGTAACAAGTTTATACACTTTTAATTCTTATGTATAAGCATAGTTGTACATAAAACCTTTTTGGTACAAAATGAAATACTTAATCATAATTACGACGTGTCCAGTATACACGTAGTCAAGCATACGAGATGAATCTTTTTAATCAAAGAAAGGCAAAAAAGTATATTTGGACAGAAAACAAATGTAAAAAAAAAAAAATGTCAATATGTTATGAAAAAATAATTATCTTGTAGAATACTTGAAATTTTGTGTGATGGACGTGTTATAATAAAAGATTATTAACGTTAGGTTAAATGTTATATTTAATATTTGTGGTTGTTGGATCTTGAACTTATATGCTCTAGAATTCTGCATTAATTAACCATAAACTTTATAAGCTCATAACCCTAAAATTATCAGGAATACTTTGAAGTTTGTTAATTTTAACAACACTGTTACATGTAACAATAAAATTGTATTGATAGTCATTACTGTTTGGATAACTATTTATAATACTAAATAAGCAATTTGACTGAGTTCTTCTACGATAGCCTGAGAAAATACGTTTTATAATATATTTTGCCTTTTCGTACAGTAGATGCTTTTCGACTTCCATGTGCTTTTGAACAACCTTGTATGTAATTGCGATTTTGAAAGAATCAGACGAAGTGATGTGGGATCGGTCGAGTGTCACTCGGGATAAGTGAAGGTATGAAAAAGGGATCTTATTTCGTGACTGAGATAATGACATTACTCAGGATTCCCGTCGACGCCTATTCCATGTGTTTCATACAGACAGTGCAACATTTTACCCTTCTTCTTCGCACAAGTAGGCACTTTATACAGGAACTTTGTATAAAGACTCGAATGATTTTTTTGTGTCCAAGTTTCAATATAAAAAGCGTTTTGTTCGGTGGTACATTGGGCAATATGCCATAGGTATCAAATTACTTCACTATTGACGCCTTAGGAGATCGCACTGAAATGTATTCATTAACTTTTATCACTCATATTTTTTATACTACAATAATCACCAATGAAAAATTATATACTTTTGACAAAGTATAAGAAAATTCATAAGCTCATAGAATAAAAATTTATTTTAAGTGTTAGCACTCTTTTATTACTATATTTAAATTATTATAATTCCCTTTTCTAAAATGTCTAACGGCCCTTCATAACAATAATATTCTTATACATGACTTTACCCCAAACAATGAAACAACTAATGGATGATATTTTCTTTTATTAATCCTTGGGGACTACTTATAATTGTTGTTACCATTATAGCTCTCCATATTGTTATAAAAATTGTTTTACTAACACAAAATATTTTTTGTGTATTTAAAAATTACAATAATATCTTATTAAAATAAAAGACGGTACTCTTTGAATGTTTAATAAGTATTATTAAAACAACAGAAAGAATGATACAGTGTAATTTATTAAGAATATTACCACTTTTTTATGGTTTATAAAATTAAATCAAATTTTAACAGCACATATATCAATATTAGACAAAAAAAAATGGTAGTATTCTGAATAAAATACACTGTTTAATTCTACACTATTTTTTTTAGAGAAAGGGAGATTTATATTGATTTTCATAGATGTCCGAAACATATTTTCATAACAGATTGAAGAATAAAATAAATTATGTGAATATAAGTTTTCATGCTATATTGAGAACTACTAGTATCTTATTTTTTAATTATAATATTTAATTGGTATAAAACTTTTAAAGGAAACTTTTTAATTAAAAAACTATTTTTAATTGATATATAATTGTTAGACGTTTAATAAAGTGTAACATCTGAAAATTCGATACCAATTATTTTTCAATTCGATTAAATCATAGTAATGTATTGTAAGCGCCTGCGTGACAGCTATTAAAAATATGAACATAAAAAGATAAAAGACTCATCAAATAAGAAAAACTACAAAACTTAACTAATTTTAAAGTTATAATCCATCTTATATGGTTGGTGAACTTATATTACGTAAGATAATATCACTAATTTTTAGCTTCCATGCGAAGCTGAGAAGGTATTGCTTTTACTAAGATGTGTTTATTTTTTTATTTTTTTTTTGTCTGTTACCACTTTTTCTCAGCTCTCACCGAACCGATTTCTTTCAATGATACGTCAAAAGATCACAAATTGTATCTAGTCGAAGACATTACCCTCAAAAATTGAACAAAATTCCCTCGTTCCCCGTAAATGGGGGAAACCTCCAAAAAAATTACAAATTTAAAAATCGCTAATTTTCGAAATTTTTTCAATTTTTTTTACTTAAAAGTGCCATAACTTTTTCAAAAATGAACATATCAATATAATTCTTTTTTATATAGATGCATAACATCATTACCTATCATTTGGTATATATTTTTTTTATATTTGACCCTTTACCTGCCCACAGGGGGGGATTTAAAATGACAACTTTTTCACAAAAAATTTACTTTTTTAACTTAAATTTTGAAAGTGTTCTGGAAAGTCTGACACTTTTATACATATCTTAAATTAAAGCTAATGTAATTTACTTTATTATGAAAAAAAAAAAATTTCGGACTTTATTTTATCTTCACGGTAAAAATGGCTACCAAATGCTATTATTGTGTGAAAATTCTCAATTTTATTTTTTATATTTTTAACTTTATAATGCTATAACTTATTGAAAAGTGTATTGTTCAATATAATTTTTTTATGGGAAATACTATTTTTTAGTAATCCCTTTTTCATTCGACATACTTTATCATAATCAGGATATTAATAAGGAACTAGCAGATCATGTAAAATTTGGAATAATCCACCATTTTTTTAAAATTAAACACTATCTAAAGATTTGCATCGAAGCGTTTTTCTTTGATAGTGATTTTAATCACTGTCAGATATCATAATACTTGATCCAACTGTGCCGCGACCCCCCTGTGCTGGTTTTTTTTTTACAATTATAACATCGAAATAAACTACTTGTTTTAAATTCATTATTTCTGTTAGGCAGTTAGATTAAATACCCCTAGTTTAATTACCTAAACCGTTACTGTATTCAAAATATTTTTTAAAAATTCACTGTGATAAACATTTTAAGAATCGGATAAGGCCACACTTTGTTTAAAAACCTTTATAAAGTATTTTTTAAAGTCTCTGGGGCTCTGTATAGTCTATGTAGTGATTTCTTTCGGAATATTGAAAATATAACTTTGGTAAGGGGACTTTATATATGAGGGACAAACAGAGAATTCGGGAGAGAATGCAATATAGAAGAAAATCGCCAAGTAATCCAAATGTGAGACGATTGCTCGCTGAAGATTAAATAGGGACTATTGTTAGAAAGAGGTTTAGCGACGTTTAAGCAAAGGGGCTTTTGAAAAGTGTGTATCAGTTTAATTGTTCCCAGATTTCATAATGCTGATACTATAAATTATATGGATAAGGCATAAAAGACAGTAAAATATTTTTGTAGAATTATTTTCATTTATGAAATAATCATTGTAATATTATAAAAATAATATAATTATTTTCAATATGTTTTTTAATCGATTGTATTACTTTTCAAATCACATAAAACATTAAAACAAAAATAAAAATTAGTAAATAAAAAAAAAATAGAATGATTTAATCAAATTGGTTTGATATATCTAATAGATGTTTTATTTTTTTAGGAAAAATGAACTTTTTAATAATATTTTGCGTTTTATAAAATATTTAAAATATTATAATAGACAATTAAAAAATTATTAAAAAGAAATTGTGATATATATACATATACTTTTAGTTAGATTACTAATCCGCCAATTATGATGGAAGCGGTAGCTTTATTCAATAAATATTATTTTTTCCAGTAAATCAGCATTATTTAATTAAGCTTTAAACCAATAACAATGTGCATTAACTATTTCTATCTTAAAAATTAGTCTGTCATCCTTTATAATATTGTAAATGTTACTGTTTATTTAAATAACTTCTATCTTAAATTTATAAGTTTCTTAAAAAACTTTTTTATATTTATGAATAACTAAGTATTGTTAAAAATAATAAATACAGTGAATATTACATTAAAATACATCAATGCTAAAATAACAACTACAGATAACATTTTTACTTTGAACTGTCATTTCAATTCTTTTAGTATGTTTTTATCATAATATATAACAATTATCTTAAGAATTTCTATATAATAATATTATTTATTCAGTTTTTTTTAAATTGTGATTAGTATATGTATTATATGCTAGTAATACAGAGGGAAAATAAAAAATGTATATTACTAATAGCTAGGTTGCAATGCTAAATTTATCTTCATAAAGCATATTTAAAAACTGTTTAAATAAAAAAAAAATTAGTGCATATTAAAAATATTATTCAGAATCTTAAAAATAAGAAGAAAATCATTGTTTAGTTGATATTATAAGGACAATTGAAACCATAAAAGTTAATATTATTATTTTTATTCCCTTAACTAGTTTAATGCATAAAAAAATGTCTGCAATGTAAATTTCATTTCTTGATTAATTTCATGCTTAAATTATACTCAAAACAGTTTAACAAGTTCAAACATTTTGACAACTTTTTGCAGTACAATGTTAATTTATAATTTATTGTTATATCAAAAAAATTTTCGTATTTTTTATTAGTTATCAAAAAATTTTTCGTATTTTTATTAGTTACCAAAATATGTAACAATTATACAGGTGATTTTTTTATCATAACCCACTCAATTACTTACAGAATAATAATTTAAAAATTTTTTTTTATTACTATCTTTAGTTACACATTATTCTTGAATTATTAACTATGTAATACTTTTTAAGTTCATTCCTTATGCTTGGTAAGGGTGTCAACTTTGTTTTTTTAAATGGTAACACGTATTTCTAATTTAATAAAATGTTTGAGTTTTCAATTCAATAGTAAATGGCATTTGAATTTTTAATATAACTTTATTCGTTTATTAGATATAAACATTTAAAGTTTCAATTTTTTGAGTTAATTTACATGTATAATAGACTAGGGATTAAAATTACAGGTAGCTAATTGGTTTTTTATGACATCGATATTAGCAGGTACAAAGCATTGTTATTATCAATGGTAGTAAGACACATTGTTGTGAGTTTATAAATACACTAACTGACAATATAGAATGTATATCTATTGATAGTCATAATTGATAATAAACAATCCGTGACTGTGATAGCAATATTATAAAAAATCAATTAGCTACCTGTATTTGTAATCCCTTGTGTATTATACCTATATATTAACTCAAAAAATTGAATCTTTAAATGTTTATATCTAATAAACGAATAAAGTTATATTAAAAATTCAAATGACATTTGTTATTAAATTAAAAACTCTAACATTTTATTAAATTAAAAATATGTGTTACCATTTAAAAAAACAAAGTTGACACCCTTACCAGGCATAAGGGATGAACTTAAAAAGTATTACATAGTTAATAATTCAAGAATAATGTTTAACTAAAGATAATAATAAAAAAAAAAATTTTAATTATTATTATTCTGTAAGTAATTGAGTGGGTTATGATAAAAAAATCACCCTGTATATGTTTACGT